CGGACAATTTATGAGTTTACCCTCATAAATTATATATAACCTTTGTACAGAGTAAAATGGATTTATTTGGGAGCTGGGTGTCTGGGTGCTGGAGATAGGTGACTTGCTGAGCAGTTTTTGGTTAAAGTCTACAGCTTTGGGGGCGTGGACCAGACCTGGGTATGTGTTGCAGCAGACTAGCGTGTCTGGCTCAACAAGGCAGGGTTCTGGAGTCCCAAGCTGGCAGTGGAAAACAGGCTCAGAGATAATTCCAGCATGTCCGGTGACAGCCTCAAGGGGGTCTATGTGACCGAACCCATCACAATTGGTCAGCCAGCTTTAGAAATGAACTCTAGCTAGCTCCACTAGGAACCAGAGGGAGGTACAAGAAAAGCCCCCTCTCCAAGGGTGGAGAAACTAAGAGGCAGAATAGCTGTTGGAGGGGAAAGGAGCCCAGATACAGCATAATTTGGACTAGATTCTGGGATAGTCAAAGGTCAAAGCAGCAGCTGCCTCCTAACTGGGGCTACTGTCTCTCCTGAACGGGGATGATCTGACCCCAGATGAAGCTTGAATGAAAGCCAAAATCAGGTAATTGGGATGCAGGGGCACAGCAATTAATACAGGGCTGGACACCCACCAGGAATAAAGTTTTAATCACAAGAACTAGAGAATTAATGATGGATGTTGTAAGACATGCCAGATCCTCACCACTTTTTTCAGGAGGCTGCTCTCTGAATTTGAGGCAGACCTGTATTTCTTACACACACAAATGCCAAGGATTCCTACGTGTGTTGCTGGAGCTACTGCAACTTCACCTTTATGAAAAGTTAATATATTTTTACTCATCTTAGCATACTCAAAGAATATGTTCAAGTACATTTTCCTACTTTTAATAAGGTAACAGTTTCAGAAATCTTCACTAGAAAGGCAATTTCAAACTCAGTTATTAATAAATTCTTCCTTAGCTTTTGCAAGATAGTAATTACTGTCCTGTTTTAAAAGGGGAACTGTTAATGAGGCCACCCTACTACATCCCCACCTGCACCACTGGGCTTCCCCAGATATTCTGGAGCCAAATTCTCCATATCTCTTGATACTGATTAACCCTTCCTTGCCCCCCCCCCCCCGCTTTCTTTTCTTTGACAGTATTGGCCTTCCCTGCAGAAAGCTGAGAACAAGTTTGTGAGATGCTAACAAGATATTGCATGATCCCACATATGTACAAGCAGGACTGAATTGCATGTAGGCTCACACTAGTTCAGAAGTAGATGGGTTAATCTGAAAGATATTCTCTTATTGAATATGCCACTGAACACTACACATGCTACTTCTGGGGGAATTCTGCACCACCATGCAATGCAGAATTTTGCAGAAATTAATGTTGGGTGCACAGACTTTCCTTTTTTCCCCACAGAAATGGGTTGCAGTGCTGCTGGCCAACAATAAGGGCTACTGTACCTGGCAGAGCCCAGGTTGCAAATAGAAGACAGAGCCGGGGGGAGGGAAAGATAACTGGAGGGTTCCCAGCAGCTGCGATTCCCAGCACGCCCTGAAGGAAGGAGGCAGGAAACTCCATGCAAGCTTGTGACCCACATCCGTCTGTTTCTCCCTCTGGATCCCTGGGCTCTAGGAGGGTAGTGTCTGGGCCAGTGGGGGCTGCAGATGGGAGGTAGGGGATCTCAGTGTCTGGACCAGGGGAGACCCCACAGCTGGCCTCTGGGGGGGAGGGAGTGTGAATGTCTGGGCTGCAGAGGGCCAATGGCTTGGCTCGGGGGCGGGGGAGGGTGTGAGAGTCTGGCTCCCCAGCTGGGCTCTGGCAGCGGGAGAAGGGGCAGAGAAGCAGGAACTGGATTGTCATAGGGGTTTCTTTAACTCTACTCATGGGGAAATTTTTGTGTGTGTCTATATTGTTATAGACATACTTGCTGACAGGTATTTTGAAATAAATTATCAAAATAATTGAAACCGGCATGATTATATAAAAAGAACAGGAGTACTTGTGGCACCTTAGAGACTAATAAATTTGTTAGTCTCTAAGGTGCCACAAGTACTCCTGTTCTTTTTGCGGATACAGACTAACACGGCTACTACTCTGAAACCTGTCATGATTATATAGTGTCAGGGGTTCTCAGGACAAATTATTTGGTGGCCTCAGAGTGCAGCCGCCAACTCTTCCTGGTGGCTGCTCTCACACTTTTTCCTAAAATATTTAATTAGCTTTAGGAAAAACAAATATGCACGTATACACGTCCAAATCATTGTAACTTATTTATTGCTAGCTAGTAAGTCTGCTGTGAAAAGTGATATTAACAAACATACACGTATCACTTTTCATAGCAGACTTAGCCCTGGGAAGTCTGGGGACGAATTAAGCCCTGGATGGGGGATCAGGGGATGCAGCAGGGGCCAGAGGAGATCGGGGGGGGGGAGATGGCGGGGGAAGCAGTGGGGGGCTGAAGCCTGAAGCTCTTGCGGCCAGAGCCTGCCTTCCTGCTACTCCCGGCCTGAAGCCCAAATCCTGAGCCCCACCGCCCTGGGAAGGTGGAGAACTTACTGGCTGCACAAGCCACTGCCCCCCACCTTCCCAAATCACAACCCAGGAGGCTATGGCCACAAAAAAAGCCCCTGGGGACCACATTTGAGAAATGCTGAAATAGTGTTATTTTGACCTGCAGAATTTTGCAGAATTTTAAAATATTTTGCACAGAATTTTTACTTTTTTTGGCGCAGAATTGCCCCAGGAGTAACATGCTGTACACCCTTAATGCAGTCTTAGAGTTCCTGAGACACACTTCCCGCTGAGGTAGAAGCCAAGCAGCCTGGCATAGGGTAGTCTCAGGCTGCTGCTACAGAGAGCAGTAGGAAGGCTGTTTTTTTTACCTCATTTCTGTAAATAGTTCTGTTTATATTACAAGGCTTATCTTGACACTGGTCTGCTCATCAGTAAGATACTAAACTAGGAGTATTACTGCATGCATGTTAAGAGGTGTGGGAGACATTAATTTCACTTGTCTACAAGATCCCCATGACATTCAAGAGTCTCTGAACAGCATTGCAAGGTTATCATGCCCCTTCCCTTCTTCCTATATTCTGGTTCCCCTTGTTTATTCCCCCTCACCTCCACATCCATTTTTTGGGACTTTCTCTTATATAAGCGCCTATTACCCTCCACCCTCATCCTGTTTTTTCACAGTTGCTATCTGGTCACCCTACCCCCCATGAGCTCGCTTTCCCCCCTCCCCACCCAGCCCCAGGAGGAGCTCGCTGCTCCCCACCACTCCGGCGCCGGCAAGAGCTTGCTCTTCCCTTCCCCTCCCCCACGCCAACAGGAACTCACTCTCCCCCGCCCTCCCTTACCCCAGCGGGAACTCATTCTACCCTTCCCCCCCCCCCCGCACCCTGGGTCCGGGAGGAGCTCACTCTTCCCCCCGCTCCAGCAGGAGCTCGCTCTTTCCTGCCTCTGCAGCCCCGGGGCCAGAGAAGTTCTGTTCCCCCTGTGATTATTGGGGGGGCCATGCCCCTGCTTGCTCCCCCTTGGGCATGCCCCTGTTTGGGAGTAAACTCAGCATGCTCTATGTCTGGTCAAACTAAGTGAGACAAGCTTCAACTGGCATGCAGCCTGACCAAGAAGTGCACTGCACTGCCTGAAGGCCACTGAAGATTTATGAAAAAAATTCAAAACTAGTGGGAATTGAAAGGTATGGTTGACAAAGGGGAACAAATATATGTGAAATGTGAGAGAAGTTGCATTCCCCCCATAACACAAGCAGATCAGTTTAATAATGCATGAAATGTAGGTCTTCATGGTTGTTTTTCTATCAAAGCCAACTGGAAGCTTATGGTAGCAAAGACAACTAGGATTTTCCTGCTCCAAAAGCCTAGGCCCTTAATCACTTAAACTGAAATATCTCTGTGACGTTACACTCCATATTCTTTATGGAAATATGCTTATGATATGGATATGACATAACTGAGATGTACTTTATGCAAGATGGCTCACGGAGGATATCATTAGAAAGGATATGATTTACTGAATGTGATTATCCAATTTGTATGCCTCTATCATTTCTGTATCTAAAGTTAGGAATATGGACTATGTAGCTGTGACGCATGCTCAGAAAGGGTTAAACATCCTGCAAAATAAATAACCCTCAAAAGACATGTGGGAAAATAATGTTTGTGTATGTACATATGTATGAGTAGGGTGAACGATGTAATCAACAGTCCCTGTCTATGCTGTATTCTGATACTTCAGAGATCAAAAGACCATCCTAACATTTAAATGAATTGTAAACACGGGATATCTTGGTATTCATCTCTCTTTGAAATGTACTGTGAATGGTGGCGGAACAAGCAAATGGCCTTATGTTAATTCATATAGTTAAGTACCGATGATGGACCTCCTTCAAAGTCATCCTAATTATCTTTTCTTCCCGGAGGAAATCCCAACTTGTTAAAGTGTTGCAATGTTAAAGGTATGCCACATATGGTAATGGCTCTACCCAACTCAGTATCTATCACCTGTAAGACCCTCCCCCCTCCGAATCATTGGAAGGATGACTGATCCCTGGGGAAATGAAACTGAAGAAAGATTTTTTAAATGAAACAACAAATAACTCAGTGGATGAACTTGGAACTGTGGGCATTGAGCTCGGACCCAATTACACCTTACAAATATGGGTGACTAACAATGGTGTTACTATTGACTGGTTTTAGGATGGCTGGAGACCAGTTGAGAGATTTGTCTCCCTACTCGCATCTTTCATCGGGGTTTAAGATCTCCCAAAATAAAAACCAACAAGGGAGTACAGGAGTAAAGTTCAGGTATGTTTATTACAAAACAAGATAAGTAAACGGGGTATGCTATAAAGGACTCCCAACACAGGTAAGTAAGGTAAATAGATAAAGGTTACACTATAACTGTACTGACTGTGACCAAAAAGGGTTTATTCCCTTCCCAAGACAGGTCACAGCTAAGGGGTATGGAGGACTTAAAAGGTCTCTATCATATCTTGCAGCTTGTGCCTGGAGCCTCCTGACCTCATGACGCAGATCAGGTCCAGAACCAACCAGGTGACTCAGCAGGGTGAGAAGTGGACCTCAGGCAACAGGTAGATGGTAACTATGATTGATGCTGGTGATTCTTCTTTCTCCTCCCCTGTGTCATCAAGTAAGATCCAGAGGAGAGGGTGGCAGCTAGCAGCTCATCCTTGCGTGCAAGTGTGTTAAACCCACCCTAAGGAATGGTGCCCTGGCTTACACACCTGAGTAGAACACACTGCTTTGATCCAGCACTCTGCCACTCAGATGGACAGCCCTTTCCCTCAGACATGCTAACCCTTATATGCCCTGCTGCTACTGGGCAGATCACATGTCACATGGTTGCTATGTTTCCCACCTTTCATTAGAAAGGGCGGGAAACTGTACCTAAGGAGGGTGAAGAAAGGCAGCCAAGATGGATTCCTAGTTTTTGTTATCAGGAATTCAAGATGGCATGTGGGTATTAATAACCAGAACAGAAATACAGAAATTCTCCCCCTACATTACTATACTTGCAGATGGACCTCCAGACACAGACAGGCTGTGTGACTGAAACGTTGTTTCCTGGATTGCCTACTACTTAGATAATGGTTGGCAAGAGGAACACTGAATCTGGATGAACCACGGCTACGGAGCACCTTGGATGGAGATCAGATAAGCTTTTGATGGTACGTTGCCTCTCGAAGCGCGCAGCTCACAGCTGCCGCTCAGAAGGACAGCACCACTTCAGTTGTGTTCTCCCCTTATATAGTCTCTCTCTCAGCCATACCACGTGACCTAGACCCAGTGGTCTTCCCGCTCTTTTGCACCAAATGACATAAAACACCTTACATTTCCCCTCCTTGATGGTCAATGGATATACATAGAACTTTAACCGTCACACTCCATAGACATTACTTAACTTAAAAGATGATACAGGCACAGAAGCTAAAGGTAACAGCTGTTTTTCTTTTGATCCACACAGTGAGGCAGATCAAGTACACAATGATTACAAATTGGATGATTAGGACCACAATAATAGGATGTAAAATAATATTCCATACATCATTAAAATTTTCCAGTCCCCCAAATAGATTCTCCCACCACTGACTAGAAGCGGTCTCATCTTTGTTTCGCTTTAACACCCGCTTAATCTGATTAGAGGCATGATGCACGGTCAGCAATACCTCTTTCCCTTCCTTCTCAATTTGCTTTAAGTGGGCTTTCATTTCTTGGTGGAACATAAGTTGGTTTAGGGCTGCTATATTTGCTCCAAGGTGGACTGGATCTAAGTTGTCGTATAAAGTATACTGTACATATATAGTCTCGGTGGTGATGTCATGTCAGACAAAGTCTAGATCACAACCCTTAATGTAAAAGATGGAGCCCAGACAAAGGTTGATGGAGGGGTCATGTGTAATTCTATAATAACTATTTACAGTTAACTCACTGCACCAGCTGCTTAGACATAAACTATGGTCATTCGTGAGCATGATGGAGGAGTGATTAAAATCTGAAGAGTGCATTTTATAATGACACATTCCTTTTTTGGGCATTTAAACATACATGGGATCCTTCCAAAACTTCAGTGTTACAAGCGTAGCCTAGCTCTTTTCTTCTAGGCAAGACTGGAGGTTCACAGTGTGGTATTCCTCACCCTTCCGATGGATCCTTTTGTTGATAACCATAGGAATAAATACAGCTTGTCCCACATTTAAGCCTATGGGCACTAAAGGGTAAACCCATTCCTTGTTTGCTACTTTTAAGGTCAGCACATAAGCAATTATTGAATGGTTGTGGTGTAGGTAAGTGAAGTTAATTAACTTTCACCATCCCTGGTGTTCTTGCTCAAAGGGAGTGAGATGGTTCCACAATACATGCCTTATCTCTACTGGATTAAGCCCTTTCAGGCCATCCCTCACAATGGATTTAGCCACATCTAGAATAGATTGCTGTGCTTGCACACATGCTAAAGTGAGGGGGATGTTAGACTGAAGAATGTTTATGCCCCTATGATGTTGACGTGATCTGTCTTCTGAATTTGCATCCAGGAAGGTAAGGTATTGGCTATATGATACTCAAGCTCACTATTCCTATTTAATGAGGTAGTAAGAGTGTTTGATAAAGAGGCTATATCATAGCCCATAGCTCCTATTTATCAGTTAGGATCTGATCGTCTATAGTATTTAACACTCCTAGTCCAGTTCCGACACCTCCTAGTATTTTAGCTAAGATATCCCTAGATTTCCTTATGAAAGAGTTGGATGATGGAACCACTCCTTGCAACCAAGCATTCCATCCCGCAATTAGAGGTGAAGTGTATGCAAAACATCCTTGGTTAATATTGTGTATGGAAATTTGTACAGGCATTATTAATCTTTTGATGGAATATACTGGATTTATCATCAGTACTTTTCTAATATTCTGTTTGACCACCACCGGTCCAACAGAACTTGTATATGGTCTAGGTACCACAGATACCTTTACATTGACCTTAGTTCCATACAGACTTGTGATAACCTAGTCACCTGTGTCATTTGATAACACTGTAACACGAGCATTCCCAATACATACAACAGGGAAACTGCTTACATAACCCATTCATGATACAGGCATTATAATTACTAACAACACGTGGTTCTGTATAATGGCTACACTTCAGAGTTGCTAGATAATGACCTGATGGCAAATACAAATGGGTATTTATAAAGGTTTGATTAACATTATGGATGCCTATTGAAATCATTACACTTAAATCCCCAGGTTTTACCTGTAGAGGGAGGTCACTTATGAAGGACAGACACTTGGACAGCTCCCAAACCTCAGTCGACCTAGAGTACCTCTATAGGAAAGTGTCATCAAAGAGCCATGAACAATTGCCCCCTCATTTCCTTATAGATTTAATTTGTGCATCCTTATCTAATATGAGCTCATGCTTCCGTTCGTCATCTGCTGTGAAGGCCATTAATGAAGTGTTACCCCTTTCTTCTGCCCATACAAGATAACAATAACCCATATCCACATAGGCATATACAGATATAATCCCTTTCAAGACCGAGCTCAACAGAGCTTCATTCGTCAGTATACTTCTGCCCTTGGGATTATACACCACATCTTCATCATAATCGTCAGTTTAATTATAAATGGATTCTAGCAACTCATAATTATATTCATAAACCCCTACAGGTGTATCCAATCTCTCAGCCATCATATTGTTCACTTTACAGTACCAGTGTTTGTTCTTATTTACAATAAGAGAGTCCATATGTTACCTCAAAGGGGAGCCAAGGTAACTCTATATGTATAGTGGTATCAAGAGATAAGACAATCCCCTTTTACTCAGAAGAGCAGACCCACACACCCTCAGGGGGGTGGGTGGATTTACGAATCCCACACCCACAGATTTGTGCACCCTGAGTGAGGGTCCCGCAAGAGAGTCCTGCTCCCCCAGGGGCTAACGCCCACAATCTCACACCACTCACACAGGGGGATTGCGATTTTGCAGATCCCACCCAAGGAAACCAATGTTTCCCTTCCTCAGACAGCACCCTACTTCTGAGCTGCCAGAGTCCACCAACCAGTGTCAGGCCGACTGCTGTCGCTGCCTCCGAGGTGTCCTCACCTCGGATGCAGAAGCATTCTTGCTAACCTTCTACTCAGTCAGGGACATGTATTCCAATGGCCACACGTCTCGTTGTATCCAGCGGATCCCAAACAGAGTCCCATCAGATCAGGCCATACCCTGCCACTCTCTGCCCAAGACTGACTGCCTCTGGGCGTCGAGCAGAGATTTTAAAATGGGACCACAGGTTCAGATCCTTTAGTTCTCCCTCTCCTGTCCACTGACTTACGGAAAGGGGAAAGGGAACACTCAACTGCTCAGGGATGCAGCCTTGCTGGGCTGCCACTAGTCTCGGCCTCCCAGTGGGGGAAACCGAGACCTAGGACACGACCCCGTTATCTAACGTCAGCCACCACTTACACTAAAATACATACATTACAGGATGGGAGTGATGTTCATCTCCCACAGGTCGCAAGGGACCTCAGTTCAAACCACATGAGTTAACGAAAATAAATAAAATAGAAATAAGCCAGACACAGGTAGAGATCCGAACAGTAGACTCGTGGCTATGGCATATTGATCTTAACATTGGATCCTGCCGCGATTGCCACAAATTGTTGATTGGCTAGAAGTTGCAACGTTAAAGGTATGCCACATATGGTAATGGCTCGACCCAACTCAGTATCTATCACCTGTAAGATTCTCCAACCTCCGAATCACTGGAAGGATGACTAATCCCTGGGGACGTGAAACTGAAGAAAAATTTATTAAACAAAAGATAGTACAACAAATAACTCAGTGGTTGAACTTGAAACTGTGGGCATTGAGCCCGGACCCAATTACCTCTTACAAATATGAGTGACTAACAACAGTGTTACTATACTTGCAGATGGACCTCCGGACACAGACAGGCTGCATGACTGCAGTGTCGGATCCCAGACTGCCTAGTACCTAGATAACGGTTGGCAAGAGAAACGTGGAATCTGGATGAACCATGGCTATGGAGCATCTTGGATGGAGATCAGGTAAGCTCTTTTGATGGTACGTTGCCTCTCGAAGCACGCATCTCACGGGCTGCTGCTCAGGACAGCACCACTTAAGGTGTGTTCTCCCCTTATATAGTCTCTCTCTCAGCCATACCACGTGACCTAGACCCAGTGGTCTTCCCGCTCTTTTACACCAAATGACATAAAACACCTTACAAAAGAGAACATGAAATGGTATAAAAGATTCTTGGGTCCTGATTCTGTCATCTCAGATCTGCTGAGGCTTCATCGGGGGAAGTTTGAGTCGCAAGACTGAAGTCCCAGTTATGCTGGTACGCCCTGAATATGATATTTGGACATTGGACTAGAACCTATGAACTATTTCTGAAAGAACTCTTTGCAACTACAAAGCTCACCATCTCTGCTATGAATCTGCACCTAAATGAATTGAACTCATGTCTGTATGTATATTGATCTTTTAACCATACTCTCTCTCTTTTGTTTTTTAATAAATTTTAGTTTAGTCAATAAGAATTGGCTGTAGCGTGTATTTGGGTACGATCTGAAACATTAATTAACCTGAGAGGTAATGTGTCCGATCCTTTGGGATTGGTAGAATGATGAAATAAGATTTACAGAAATGTTCATTATATTTGACATGGGTACGTGGATGGAGGCCTGAGGCTGGATCACTTTAAGGGAACTGTGTTGTTTGGACTTCTGAGTAACCAGTAAGGTAATAAAGAAGCTGTTTTATGCTGGCTTGGTAAATCTAAATATTGAAAATATCCACCAGCTTTGAGGATTATCTGCCCCATTCTTTGCAGTTCACCCTAATTGAGTGACCACAGCTGGCTCCCCACTAGGATCCCAGTCACAGTAACAATTACAACTGGGTGTGTATTGGGAAGACACCCACCAGATGACAGGCCATCAGATTTGATGGGCCATCAGGAAGGAACAAGACTGTGAAGATACTAATCTCTCTCCCTTCTGGGAGGCGTCCTGGGACATAACTGTGACACTACTAGGTCAGATGGTCTTGTCACCTGATACTAAACATTATTTTGGACTTCTACAACTTTCCACCAAAAGGGGAGAGGGGTCAAGTTTGGGAAACAAAGGATTCTTGCCTTATGTAAACCTTATTTAAGGGTGGGAAGGAAGGCAAACAGGACTCCTCCTCTCCATGGCCTGTCTGCCCAAGAAGAAAGACTGCTAAAGACACCTGAAGGGAAGGCCAGGGGGGAGTCCAGACTGAGACGGGGTCCAGTCTGAAAAGAAATATAACTGGAACTCTAAGCTACAGAAACTTTACAACCTGCCTAAAATAACATTTAGGGTAAGAAATTACATTTTGTAACCTGTTTCTTAGGTATACTGAGTGTAGCTTGCGTATTTTGTTTTATGTGCTCAGTAATCTGCTTTGTTTTGTTTGTTCTCTCTTATATTCACTTAAAATTCACCTTTTGTAGTTAATAACCCTACTTCTTGTTTATAATATAACCCAGTTTGTGCAATTCATAATTGGGGGCAGAGGGTAAGAGGCTGTGCATACCTTCCTCCACATTGAGGGAGGAGGTGAATTTCATAATATACCTTTGGGTCTGCACTCCATAGGAGGTGGACACCTGAGTGCTGGGACAAGTCCCTTAAACTGAGTCTTCCCAGAGCTGATCACAGTGTCTGTGACGTTCTGCAGTTGGGTGTGGCCCTGCTTGTGTGTGTGCTGGAGGAGGCTTAATAGCCTGGCTCAGCAAGACAGGTAAAGAGGGTGCCCAAACTGGCAGAACAGGCAGGCTGAGTGGTATCTCAGCAAGTCAGGTGGCGTCCTAAGGTGGGCAACCCATCACAATTTCCTGTAACTGTTGAATTGTATAATTTATTATACAGTTGAGAAGTCCCAGAATCAAGTGACTGGTTTGTTTATACTACACTGGTCATTACAATGTTTATATAATATGTCACTTTTGTGTATTTAATGGTAGGCAACAGATGGACTTAAGGTTGGCATTTTATAATTAAGTGCTTTCATGTGAGGTTAAACATTTATGTAGTTTTGAGAATCAGAGGATTGATATATTTATGCCCACAGTTGATCTTTACCTGGAGAACATACCGTAATTACTAATCACTTTGGAGACCACTCCATTGTTTAGTCAGAATTTGCCTAAGCCCTGTAAAATAGGCTGTTAGCTTTGCAGTAGTACTAAACTAGTGAGCTGTTTTCCCAGAGCTCCTCCAACACACTTGGGCCAATTTTATTCCACTGTAGGAACACTGCCAGTTTACACCAGACAGTTATCTCGCCCTTGAGATTAGCTTGTAGGGTGTGAGTTTTTTTGGCACAATGAGGAATTTCATAATATGGCCTGTCCTTATCATATACTTTCAGTGATGAACAAGTCAACATACAAGTGGAAGACAAAATTAAAGATAGGAGCTTTCAAGTTTTTGAGTGGGCATGATTAGCAATTGAGATAAACAGAAATATCCTGTACCTTTTTATTATTTTATTTTATTTTAATTTTTTACAGAAGCTGAACTGAGTCACTTCTCCCACCATGAGCCAGTTCCTGGCACTTCTTCTGAGAAGCTTCTGTTTGACTTGTAGGAATGTTGTTATCAAAACCAGAACAGTTAAACTGATGGTTGTTTTGACATAAGAACAGCCATACTGGGTTGGACCAAAGGTCCATCTAGCCCAGTATTCTCTCTTCCAACAGTGGCCAATACCAGGTGTTTCAGAGGGAATGAACAGAACAGGTAATTATCAAGTGATCCATCCCTTGTTGCCCATTCCCAGCTTCTGGCAAACATAGGCGAGGGACACCATCCCAGCCCATCCTATCTAATAGCCACTGATGGACCTATCCTCCATGGATTTATCTAGTTCTTTTTTTAACCCTGTTATAGTCTTGGCCTTCACAACCTCCTCTGGCAAAGAGTTCCACAGGTTTTCTGTGTGTTGTGTGAAAAAATACTTCCTTTTGTTTTTATAAACCTGCTGCCTATTAATACTGCAACACTTAGTTTCAGTTCTTTTGGTCAGGGACTCATGTTTAAATTGAAAGCACCTGTCATTGTTCATGGTAGTACTCCTATTTACTCCTCTCCCTCTACTTTGCTCCCCACCTAGGGGCTACATGTCAAGCTTCTAAATGTTGAACACTACTCCAATTTTGAGTACTATTTTAAGTTCATCCTGTTACCCACAATCAAGCATCCATCTTAAAAGGGCACACCAATAACTAATACTTCCAAGGAAGACCAATATCCACGTGATGGACGTGATGCTAGCAAGGTTTGAATTGTAAAAATGAGGAAAAGTTTTCCTTTTGATGACATGTTGACATGTTGTGATCCACTTACATCCAGAAGATGTACCTTTACATTGGCATATGTACCTTCATATATTGTTGATCCTAACACTATCTTCCTATTATTTCCAATCTTTGTGTTTGACTCTTCACTCCGGCAACATGTTCCACAGGTGGACTTTTTTTATGTTTCCGGTTTTACATATTCAGAATTTACCAGCTACTCATTAGACCATTTGTTCTCATAATATGGGACACTAAGAGATCCTTAATGCTATGCACAATTCCCTTCATAAAAGGACAGTTAGGTCAAACTTAGTTTAAGCTTTGTTTTTATCAAGTCCTGCGCTTACAAAATCCAAGACAAAGAGCAGTATTTTAATCCTTTAGGTCCAATAATAGTTACAGATTTTCTTGTGAAGTGTTGGTTAGTGCACAATATACTACCAAGTGAAGAAAACTAGTTTGGCTGTTGTCATTGCCCAGATGAATGAATTTCAGAAAGCAACCAATCAGCGTAAGTGATGAGAAGTTAGTTTCAGATTTAAATATCCAATCCAGGAATGGATTTACCATGAAACAAACTGTGCGGTAGCATGGGGCCTCCCAATGACGGGGGGCCCCCAAAATAGAGGACAAATATCTGACAACCTACCCCCCGCCGGCGGCGCAGCAGGGCTCAGGCACGCAGGCTGCCTGCATGCCATGGCTGGTGGCCCCATGCCACTCCTGGAAGCGGCCGGCTGCTGGCACATCTCTGCATGCCCCTGGCGGGGTCGGGGAGGTGGTTCCACGTGCTGCCCCTGCCCCAGGCAGCACATGGAAACCCGCTGCCTCCCTCTCTCCAAGAGGCATGCAGAGACGTGCCAGCAGCAGGGCTAAGGCGGCTCTCTGCCCTTTCTGCTCCCTCCCTCCACACCGTTTTGCTCCCGGAAGCTGCTGGCATGTCCCTGCGGCCCCTGGGGGGGGGGGGTCTCCGTGTGCTGCCCCTGTCCCGAGCCCTGGCTCTGCAGCTCCCATTGGCCGGGAACTGTGGCCAATGGGAGCTGCAGGGATGGTGCCTGCAGGCAGTGGTGCGTGGAGACCCCCTTGCTCCCCCCACCTAGGAGCCGCTGCCGGAGGGGTATGTGTGCTGGTCACTTTGGGAGCCGCACCACCCAAGGTAAGCGCCGCTTCCCTGCCCCCTCCCATACCCCAACCCCCTCCCCCAGCCCAGAGCCTGCACCCTGCACCCAAACTTCCTCCCAGAGCCAGCACTGCTCTCACCCTCCCACATCCCAATCCCCTGCCCCAGCCTAAAGCCTGCACCCAAACTTCCTCTCAGAGCCTGCACCCCTCCCGCCCTCCCTGTAAGAGTCCAAGCAGTCCAGAGATGTCGGATCTTTCCTTGAATCCATACTTATAGCTTCTAGTCACAGAAAACAAGCAGACATTGTCACTACCCACGTGGGCTTTTCCTTTGATGACGGACACTGAGGAATGCATTTTGAGTCTTTGACCTCCGATCATCACACACAATGACCACTTGCTTTGAAATTAGCACTTTTCTGTTAAAGTTCTCCATTTGCATTCCACAAGGTTTCTTCCTTGTTTGGTGGATTATTTAGTTACAGGGGTACACACCATGTGAAATGTTTGTTACTACATTATAACAGGATACAGATAAGTGAAAACAATGCAAGTAACATCCCATTAGTTTTCATGAAGTTTAAACACCAAATAGATGCTTATACACAGGTGCTGAATTTTGTTTTTGCTGGTGGGTGCTTTCCGCCTGACAGTTGCATTGTGTGCCATGTACATGCTCTTGCCACCTACTGGTGGCTTGTGGGGGCTGAGCACTTCCTATTTTTTTTTGGTGGGTGTTTGAGTCCTGTGTCGTGCACCCCCCGGCACTTTGGAAAGTCAGCACCTCTGTCCCAACCTGTGTCCGGACTTAGAACTGTGCAGGAGAGTACCCTTGTTCTGGAGCACCAGGTCTCATTCCACCTTCCCCAGATCAAGTGAGTCCCGGGAG